ATATTGCTTTATGGTATACTAGTGTGGTGGACGGCTAGAGTCCGACCGATTAATCGGCATCGGCCGTTTTTGGCCAATTCTTAGCCGATTCTTTTAACTTTTTCCGCAATTTTAACAAACGTTCATCAAAATTTTAAACTGTTAAATCAGATTCTTAGATTTTTTTTGAGTACGCAGTTTTTTAAATTGTAGTATAATAAAGGGCAAATTTTAAGTAGCTAAGTAAGACTATGTTCAAAGATGCACCTAATTGGTAATTAAGAACCTTTTCACCAATTTAAGCCTTAATTGCTACCCAATTTATCACACAAAATTTAAAATTATTAATTGCCAATTAAAATTAACAATTAATTTGTATCAGACTCTCTATGCAACCCTGCTAGCTATGTTTAATTTTGACTTGGAGGTATGTTTATTGAATAAAGAGCAATCAGCTGTTTGTTTCTAGTCCTCTTTTATAGCTCAGTTATGCATACTTGGCGTTGCTTGAGAGTGTGACAACTCTGAGTCTGAAGGAATCTGTTAAATGAGCTTTGCATGTAAACGGTTACCCAACGCATTGCACTTCACACGTAGAAGTCTGTTGGTTTTTGGTTTCTACGTAAAAATGGTATAGCAGTGCATGCAATACCAAGTGTGCATAACAGAGCCTTTACAGCTGATATTCCATCAGGTATGGAAAATTTAATTATAAAATTGTACCTAATTTACGGAAAACTAAAGTAGATAGATATACCTAAAAAGTAAATATGTATTTCTATACAAAAAAAATATGAGGATAACAATTCCCATCGATACCATGTCAACTTCTGTACTCGCATTAAAAGAAATATTTTCCGTCTATCTGGCGAAATCAACTACAGATTCGTTACTTTGACCACCCTTCTGCATCATTTGTATGCCTCTTCACAAAGGAGGGAAGCTATTAGCCCAGTTGCCCACCAGAAAATGCATTGAAATGTCAATAAAAATAAGAACTGATTTCCTGATAAGTTATTTGGCTACATTCGAAATGTACCTAAAATTGTGTGTTTGTAACGAATGTGCTTTCAAACTAAATAGAGGTACGATTGTACCAACTTTTCCATCACTGTAGGTAATCCAACAGCAGATTTCGTATCGCTAATTGCGCAACTGACGTATGTGTGAACACCAAACTCTATGCCGCAATTTAAAGCTTAATTGCCTGAGCTAATTGTGGCCTGTTTGAACATAGTCTAAGTGTTGATTTTTGACAATTTTTGTTCACGATTTTCCTCGAAATGAAGTATGTTCGAAAATTTGTTTGTGTGGAGAAAATCCGCAACACCTTCCACATAATTGCTAATAACTGGGTATGATAATTGGTAATTTCGCAGTTACCTAAAATTTGCACTTCATTAAAATAAAATTAAATGGGCTACAAAACTACATACTCAGAATGTTTAAAGAAAAAGTTTAAAATTTTTACTAACATGGGTTTTGTTAAATAACGAGCTACACTTTCATAAAAAAAAATAAGAAACATTAAATAAAAAATGATAAAATGTCGTTGTCATTTATTTTTTGAAGTTTGTCTACTTTATAAAACTGAAATTTTCAGAACAAGTCAAATGCCAAATAAAAGTAAAACAAAAAACCAATATATGAATATATCCAAATTTTCTTTTATTTGAGACTGAAAGTGAGAACGTATTTGTGAAATTGAAAATTTGAAAACATTTTGGTTGTGTTAGGGAACTTCAAAAATG